TCTAATATTATACCCCGTCTTATAGTTAGCTTTATTAGTAACGATAAGGATAGTGATCTAATTAGCTATATAAATTAACTAAGGACTCCCTATCTAAGACCTCTAAATACCTTAACTAGTTTTTCCTAAGGGCCTACGTAATAATCGTTAATTATAAATATTATACCCCTATCTACTACTTTAAGCTAATATAACTTACCTCGAGGTAAGCGGGGTTATAGCCCTAGTAATTTAGTATTAATACTTCTCGGAGTAATATCTATAAAATACCTAAAGGCTTCTAAAGTATCTCTTAAAAGACTACTAGAGAAGTAGAATATTATCTAAGGATAGAATATACTAGTCTATATTAGGAATAGTTAAAAATAAAAAAGTTTAATTTTTCTCCTACAATAAAATTCTACTTTAGTTTAAAAATATTCGTATTCTTAATCTTAAGCTATAAAGCTTCTCTTTTCTCTATTAATTCTTTTTCTAACTTCTCCCTTACTTTAAGGACTCTAGAGGAGAGATACTTCAGTATAGGAGGAATTTAAAGTTTTAAATACCTAAATAGTCTTCTTAACCGAATAAGGTAAATATACTATCCCTTAATCTATTATAATTTATCTCGCGTTCTTACTATAGATTAAGGGTAATAAGGTTTATATTAGTTAAGATACTTTCTCACCTTAGCCACGGACAATATTTAGTACCTTAACTAAGGTAAGCTATATCTCTTATTTTAGAGATAAAGCCTATATAATAGAACAATAAAGCCCCCCTAGAAATAATAAAAAGAAACCCTAAAGGAGTTAAACTTATTAAACTAACCTTATATAGAGAGCAATTCTATAAAAATAATCTATTAGTCGCCGGATATCTATTATATTATTATATTAGCGAGCTATACCGAGTATTATATTCTATAAAGCTAATTCTATAGAGATATAAAACCCTTCAAATAGTTAAGAATTAGACTTTTACTATATAATTATATGACTCATAGTAGTCTATTAGTACCTCCCCTCCTCGAGATATTCTCTTCTTATTCTTAGATCAGAGCGCGCCGATAATCTACCCCTAGCTTATAGATTAGAATATCGTTAAACTACCGATAGAAGTCCTAGAATTACTCTCTATTAAAAATATAGTAAGAGATATACTCTTTATCCGAAGCTATATTATTATGATAAATATAATACTATAGATTATAATAGGTATACTCTAATACTTCGATAGTAATATAGATAAAGTAATTAAAAGTAAAAAAATACCTTTAGTAGAGAATTTTCATCGCGTATACTCAATTCTACGAGTTTCTTTCTAATATTCTATCGATTATACTATTAAATCCGCGAAAGTATAGAGCTTTTTTATAAAGCGCGTACATTTTCGTACCAATCTACTAGATAGTGGTAGTTCTTAGGCGGAGAGGATGTTATCCGAGGACAATATTCGCGGTACTAGACCTATACTTAATATATATTCTCTACTATTTAATCTTTAATCTTAGTTAATACGTCGGTTACTAATATTTAAAATATAATATAATTTAGATAATATCTAAGTATCTAATACTCTAGGGGATAAGTAGGAAGAGTAGAGTAGTTATAGATTACCTCTAATAGTTAATTAGAATAGAGTAGTTAGCTTAATATTATAGTATAAGCGAAATATATTTAGCTATTAACGTTAATATCGACTAGTAATTAAAATTAGTATCCTTAGTAATAGTAAAGGTCTAGATAATAATATTCTTTATACCCTTTACCTTATTTATATAGTATATAAGTTTGGTCTACAATTATCCGGTAATAAAGTACGTAGGGAGAGGCCGACTCTTATATATATATTACTAGGAGAAGTTTACTATTAGTAGTTAGCCTATTATTTATTATCTCTAGGCCTTCTTAATATCTATTTTATAGAGTTATTATACGAAACGATATATAGTAATATAATATTCGATAAGTACTCTATCTCTAATACTACCTTTAGAGATATAATTATATATCGATATATATTAGATCCTTCCTATTATACCTAACTAGATAAAGCGTATATTATTTTTATTATTAGCTATTATACTATAGAAAACGATAACTTAATACGTAAGTATTACGATTTATATCCTCTATTTAAGGATCTAGATACTACTATAACTTATCTAGGAGATACTACTTTATCGTTAATATCTAATAATCTCTTATAGATATCTTAATAAGTAGTATCTATTTAAGATATTTTACTCGAAGGCCCTATAAGGAAAGGGTTTTTTATTAAAGGGACTTTTATTAACTATAATAACGCCGCTAGACGTCGCTTTAGTCGTATTATTATCGAGAGTAATAATTTTATAACTTTTAAAGGGTCTTATATAGCTACTATAGTAGCTATACTAAAGCTATATTTTATATAGCTATTAACTAGTATACTATTTATAAATAATATAGGGGATTTTATAATATATACTTATCTTATCTATAACCCTAATTAGAGTATTCGGCTTCTAAACTTACGCCTAGAATATATCGCTATAGCTACTAGGATACTTAATTATATTAAAGAGAAGATAGACTATATAGGGTATATAGGTAACTATAGAGATATACTATATCTCTTCTATCCTATATTCTGCCGAGTACTTGAGGAATACTATACTAATAACCTAGTACGTATTATAGAGATTATTCGATCTATACTTTAAGTATATTTAATAGATACTATATAGTATATATTTTATCTAGAGAATTAATAAATATAACTAAAGTTAAAGCTAGAGATCGGAGTTGAGTTCCTCTACTATAAAAAATAAAATATTATAGTTAAAGATATATATATATATATAAATTATATTAGAATATAGTATTAATTATTATACGTAGATAGTATAGATAGTAGTAGAGTATTCTATATTTTTAATCGATTTAATATAGAAAAATAATATATACTAGGCTACTTATAGATTAGAGTATATTAAATACTAACTAATAGAATAACTAAGCAAGATAACTTAGTAAGAGGTATAATAACTAATAATCTTAGTATAGAAGTATTAACCCGACTCGACGGGTTAAGTTAATACTTTTCTACCGGCTCGACGAGTCGGTCCCGGGTTAAGAATAAGGCTTATACCAACTCGACTCGACCGGGTCGGACCGAGTCGAGTCGAGTAAAAAACCCGGACTCGGCCCCAGTCTACTTAAGTAATTTTGTCCTATTTTTTAGCCTCTTCTTCCGCTATTCGATCTTTTACTTATTATACCTTCGAAGGGGAAAAAAATTAAACCTAGCTAGTATATTCCTTATCGAATAAGTCTATACCTTTACTTCTCCTCTTTTATATTCGTTTAAGCCGTAGAGTATTCGTAAGAGCCTTATTTTTATATAATAAGAGCTCCCTATTAATAATAAGCCTCTTACTAGTGCAAATAAGTTAAGATACTTTAGTATAATTAGATAACTATAGTAGATTTATATTTCTAATAACGCAACGGAGGCTTTTAGCTATAATAGATATAGAAAGAATAGGCTAAATAGAATAAGGATTTAGAGGAGTTTTTAGCCGGTTATTAGCGAATATCTTAAGCTACTTCGAGGTAAGAGGATAAATACTAATTACTTTAAACCCGGACTTAATATTCTTCTCTATAAGAGCCTTATACTATACCTTATAAAATAACTTCTAGAAGTTACGTTTCTTTATTGAAGTATATCTATAGCTAGAATGGAATAAGTAGTTAACTTCCTACGTATATACCTTAGAAAGTAGACTAAAGACTCTAATATCTAGTAGCTATAACCGGTGAGTTAAATAAGGAGGTAAAATAATAAGTAGAATACGATTTCGATCTACGTAGTTAATAAATCTTATATTAATATAAGATAAGTACCTATCTAGGATAAGAAGCCTTCTATAGTTCTACCTCTATTACCCTTCGTATACCTATTAAATATCTTCTTAAGCTAGACTAAACTAAAGTTATTATTGCTCTAGCTATTTAGTAATATTATAAAGTATATAGTTTCTTCTTCCGGATTAAAATTATCGAGCTAGGTATCTTATAGATCTCCTTTACCCTTATAAATAAGTATAGGAGGAATTCTTCTACTATCTATAGAAATAGTAGTAAGTAGAGAGATAAATTCGCGAGATCTATCTTAAATAGTACTAATCCTTCGATTTTTAAGAGTCTAGAGAGAGATAATACGTTTAATAGTATATCTAAGTCTAATAAAGAAGCCTTTCTTATCGAAGTTATAAATATTATCCGGGGTAATATTATATTTCTTAATTATATCCCTAAGCTATTAAAAGTAAATAAGAAGTTAGTATATATATATTTAGTAGTAAAACGTCTATTAAATAATACTTATAGACTTATAGAAGTATTTAAAATACGTAGAGTTATTAGTAATATACCTCTTTTAATTAATTGTACGAAGATAGAGATATTATATTCGATCCTTATATCTCTTATAGAACCTAGCTACCTAATTTACTCCTATAGGCTCTTTTATAAGCTCGTATACGAGATTTCGAATAGTTTAAGGTATAGGAGATAGACCTCTTACCGCTAATCGATTAATATACTATAGGAGGACTTCTTCTTACTTATCTATAAGAGTCTTATAATATTTTAATACTACTTCGGAATAGGATACTATTTAGCCTTAATAACGGCGCGCAAGGGTTCTTTAATCGATATTCTACTTTTTTATAGTTTATAAGTAATTAGGAACCTCTTGCGACTTTAATTCTTTAATCGTAGTAGCAATTGCTATCTTATTAGCCATTTTATAGGTATTTCGAGTAAGTGGTAGAGGGGTGCAGAGATTTACAAAAGGCTGGGCATTTAGTGGTGGTGGGCATTTAGTGGTGAGTCACGTTAGGCATTTGAATTTTAAGTCAAAATATAACCAGTCTCCCTGCCACCAATTAGTGCGGGCTCGCCTTTTTGGCCGAATGGCATATTTGACATTTTATTACTATATATGTAGTCACCATGGATACCTTGCTAGCTTCTATTATTTTGATTATTATTATTACTGGCACCAGTTATGAATTGGACCAAAGGAGCTTCAGTATACCAGATGATCAGTGCTCCGTATCTCTTCACACCTTCAAGAAAATAGCTAATGAATAGCATCAACCGCCACGGGGGTTGGAATCCTTCACATGCACGCCGTTCAGAGTTGCTGGCTACCACGACTCGTGCAATCTCCTTTGCTTTTCCCAATCCTTTCTGGGTTTCTTGATACGGCTTTTGGTGGTAGCATTCCCTGCTGAATCATTTATTGGTAGACTGCCCTCATGCCACATACCAAACTCGCTAGTCCGAAACGTCTCATGGAAGCTAAGCTTTCCTTTTTCCGTTTCTCGATCCTCTCTTCACTGCTGCGCCTACAGCATTTGCTCAGCCTACGTTTGGCGGGTTGTGATGAGATCACTAGTTACTGTGCACAATTATAGCAGGCTCATTTTCTCGGTCTTCTAGGTAAACCCCAAGATAGGACGGATCCACGCCTCAGATGCGATTACAATGCATCAAAAGCTGCTTTGGATCTGTCTCAGACTATCTCAGATTTATCAGTTTTCGGGGATGCGCCTCTATCCTTGAAAACTTCGAGAAGCTCAGCATACGGACGTGCGAGATCCAGTATAGGTTACTCAGGGCCCTCCCTTAAGTTAAAAAAACTACTTAGATCTTCGCAAGAGATACTGCTCTTGATATGGCAGGCTGAAGAATTGCATCCTTTGTAGTGGGAAGGGCATTCAATTATAGCTGCATATTCCGGAACACCAATACCTGTCCATCCGATTTTGGATTGTTTGGCGAAGCGTCACCATTTAGCCCAAAGATATTCATCATTGACGAAGCTCACTTAGAAGCATTCTCAAAAATAGTGCTATTCAACCCCGAAGATTCGGCTCTAGTAAAGCTAGACGCTAACTCCAGTATGGCATTCATCGCAGTAGGGGTATCAAATAAGTTGCAAAGAGCACTGAAAATTTTGTCCTAAGCTAATTTGGGGCATTTCGTTAGGGAATCACCACGGTTGGCTTGTTCTTCAAGTGTCAGTCCTTGCAAGTCCGTAAAATTTCTCGCCTTCAGAAAGTTGTTCAGTTTTTCTTCTCGGATGCCCGAAGTATCAACCATATCAGTTGTGATTTCGATTCCTTCTCGCCAGCCACCAAGAAAAATAATACTCAGGCTCCGAGAGGTTCACGTGCTTCTAGCAAGCACCTCCCTGATGGTAGTAAATTTTGGAGTGATTTGGGCTCTTTGAGCCTGAATAAGAGATGCCCAATGTAAAGAAAGTAATTAACCCGTTGATTCCTACCTTAATACACTTCGTTCTGGGCGACTTCATTGTCATGATGGGAAAAAGCAAGATCAATACCTCTAGAATTAATGTCCATGTGGTTGCCAAGTTTAGCAGATGTCATTGCGGAACATTCGATATGCCATCCAGGCTATCTGTTGCCCCAAGGGCTAGGCCAACTTGGTTCCCCTAGCCGGGAAGCCTTCCAGAGCACAAAATTCTTTGAAAGCTTTATCGCCATGATTTTAGCTAAGGAACTTTCTCCATCCGTCTGAAGATGTATTATTTCGATTCCGGTGCTCTAATTTTGCATAATGGTTTCTTAAACTTATTAGTATTAAAATAAACAGGCCTACCCGGAGTAGGAAGCAAAGCTATTCTTAATGACCTTCTTTGCAAACTAGACTATTTCGGGGACGTATGCGACCACCCTTGTTAGTTCATCCGGATTAAGAACATTTAAACTTCGGATATCGCCAATAAACCGGCTCTCATAATGTTTGGTTAATGTCTCAAATAGAGAGAATCAGTACTGTACTGCAAATCGATGAACCACAACAAATCGGGTAGATGAGGAGCACATCTTTACAAACTTCATAAAGACGTTTCAAGTATGTGTTTGGATGGGTTTATGCTGGGTTGAATGGTATTATCTACCTCAGCTGAGGTAGATAATACCATAGGTTGTTGGTTGACTAGTGTTTCTCATTTCCTTAAGTGCTTCCGCTATCGCTCTTCCAGCCAGTGAACTGCTCTTGATATTCGTCTTAATCTTGATTTCAGCAGATCCAGGTTTCTTGTTGCCTTGGAGGACATCTCTGTTGATAATACAAGCATACCTCCCCCCAGTCTGCCGTCTAAAGTCCGATGGTAAGATGCCGGAACGTAGAAGAGCCAATTGTTTCTCCACAAAAGTTGAAAATGCCAACTGTGCCATTTGTATAATATCGGCTTATGTCATCCACTCCGGTTCGACTCGCACACATCTCCAATGGTACCCATTGGACATCAGGCCTTTTGTCCCTTGTGGTCCAACATATACAGTTGGCCCACAAGCTTACGAAGTAACCTTCTAGCCATTCGAGACAATGGGGATAAAAAGGAACTTGGGTTGGGTCAAGGAGTTCCATATTTTTAGACATGACAAGGTACAATTTGGATAGGTAGACGGTCCATCCCAACAAAGCTGCTTATCCGAAATGTGAATTTGTTTGAAGACTCATCGTTGCGGTCATTGAAATAATCTTATGTAAGCACCCTTTCTTCAATTCACAAGATGAGTCATCATCTTAACTAACGTAGTTCGGCAGTCATGTGATTTGCCCGCACATTTACTCCAACTTCAATCATGAGAATTAAACAAACATCTATAACTACGACGATCGAAGTGGCCAACTTCATGAAAGTACACTTGAAATTATTCTCAAAACATCAGAACCTTTTTCACAATGGTGGGCACACGTCAACACCCTGAGGACTTTCCTCCTGCCCTTGCTAGCTCTACCTCATCAAAGGGCTCGGATGCGCAACGTCAAATGGCTACACGCAAGCAATTAAGCCAATGGGCTCATTCTCCATCACCCCTTATGCAGCTATGGCTGATGATATCACTTCCGGTGGTCATATGGGATACAGGGTATGTCCTTTTGCGGCCGTATAGTATGCCTGGAGGGGTCTACCACCACTTCTGGTCTCCTTACGCTTTGTACGGGACAATTGATTACATGTATGGCTGGCGTGCTTTCAACTCTCGAAATGGTTTCACATCCGCACAAGCTACAATGAACCTTATCGAGACGGCATTATATATCTATTATATAGTCGTTGTCTGGACCCAAGCGAAGCCGGTTTCTGTTACCCGAAATCCCGGTAAGACCTCCAACAAGGCAAATGGATGGTCTGTCATGCAGAAAAAATCTATGACAGGGACGGCAGGTGCTTGTGCATTACTGGCTGTCTTTAGCGCCAGCCTCATGACCTTGAGCAAAACTGTACTTTATGGTGAGTTCTCCGAACCAAGGCTTGGTACTTGGTTCCTACACGTTTATATCCTGGATATCCATCTATAGTGAATGTATACTTCCCTGGATACATGGATTATATCTGATTATAGAATAAAAGGACTCAATGAGGTATACTCTGGATATGATAACGTCGGACACAATGACCTCTTTACTTTAATCTTCCTATGGATTTTACCAAAGTGAGTCACAATTAATTGCACAAGGACATTGTCTACACGTGAAATGCCATTGGTTTGAATCTGTGTAACCTCGCTTACAGTCATATTGTCATTAGTGGACTATGGATTGTATTTCCATCCATCGCAACTTTTCACCATGGGAAGGAGATAGTAAACTCCTTGGGAACAGCTAGCGTTGAGGTTAGCCCGAAGCCAAAGTCGATCTAAGTGCAATAGCTTTACAGGGAAAATATGGCATCTACTAAAATGTCTGGTACTTTTCTTGTTCCTTTATTTTGTGGCACCAAGGTACCGGATTTTTTTGTGATCCGATACATTGACCTACCTAACTTCTTACCAACATTTATCATGAGCAATGATGACTTGTGTCTGGAGAGGCTGTGCTTCAGGGGCCACGGGAACGTTTTATCCAACAATATTATAACTATTATGACGAAAATTTCTTCAAATGCGGTGGTATACAGTCTCCGAAACTACTCCACCATTTATTTTAACGATAATGGCATGATTTCTCCCCTTTTTTGACGTATATATTGTTGACACATTTGGTGAGACGACGTTTTCATTTCTAATCAATGGGGTTACAAGATACACACCAGGCTCTGTTTAAGGCCTTTGCATCTTAAGCTCGGGCTATAATTATCCCCGAAATTATACTTTTTCACCAAGTTGGAAGTTCTTGCTACAAGGCATCATATATTCGCCTTTTTCTCCCCACATTCTGAGTAACAGGAGGATAAATTCCGATCAAGCATCGGTTATTGGCTACTTAAGTTTTATTCACAGGGGTTGAAAGCTGTCAGTCACACGGTCAAAAACGAGGAAACTGGCATATCTCGAGAAACAAAAGGACAAGACGATTCGTGGATTGGCGGCGGGACTAGCACAACCGGCCCGGGCAGCCAGGCTATTGGGTCAAGGGGCGCAATTAGAATCGTATATCATCATCCTTTGACACCAGCGCCAACAACGCTACATGAAATCTTCCAACCCGACGGGTCTGGAAAGCCATTCTTCAGTAGCCGACTTGAACTTTATTACTGAAAGAGGCTTGAAAAGGTCTGTCAAGAGGTTGGTAGATGAGGTACGTAGCACCTATTTGGACAGCTAAAGGTTCTATTTGACGGATCTCAAGGTCCTAGAATACGTCTCACCAATCCACGTTTTATGAGGCGCGCAAGGCTCCACCATATAGGGAAAAGCAAGACGCATCCGGGGTGACATAGATTAAGCAGATTCCTGGGAGGTAACCCTGTGCAACTCCTGAAAAAACCCGCCTGTTTGTCTATAGGTCATCTGCACCTCGACATTTTGACAACCGGGCGATCCTTTACAACTACCATTTGACTTGACGGGTTAGGAACGGGAAAGCGATCATGTATCATACATTAGCATGCGTGCATGGGAGGAAAGCAAGGGGGTCTATGATCTGTGAGCTCGAGTAATAGGATACCCTATTATCCTCAGGGTGCCGAACGATTCCAGACAATCAACAACACTACCATAATGCCTCTACCTAACCTACCTAGTTTAAGGGAAATACTCGGGTTACTCGGAGGGAATGACGCCCAATCCTTCTCCATTTCCCTTATTTAACCCAGATCCCACTCTTACAGCTGCCGATATTCTATCCCAATTGGTCCCGAAAATTCGGGACGGAAAAAGCAAACACGACGTACGGAGCACAGGGATCACACAAACCTCATCCCAAGGGATGCCCTCGCTGTCTTATCCCCTGTTTGCACCGACTAAGGTAACCAGGTATTGTTCATCCTCATTTCTTTGTTTGAAAATAGAACTACACTGCCTATCAGGCCTCAGGGATGTCGCCCATGCTCATTCCTTCATGCTACCTTCGTTTCTTGCCACATGATCGCCCAGGCTATGACTCGATTTGCCTGCATAACGCCCCTAATTTCGTTGTTGGTATGTATTTCTCTTTACTACGTTCCATTCCACCGGAGCGCTCCTCGAGTCATTTCCTAGGAATATTTATCGGTAACATTACAATCCAGCACCCTAATCTTCTCATAAGTATTGAGGTATTACATACATATACCCTCCAAAGAAATATGTAACATCTCCTGCATGTAGCTCCCACACCAGAAAAAAAAATGGCACAGAACCCGCAGGCAAAAAAGGCGGCGTACATGCACCAAGCCGTGACTGGTACCTTGGTCCCAAGGGAGGAAACCCGCCATTTCCACCATATTTTATATCCTCAGAGTACCTGTACTATGGCCTGTTTAGCGGTGAACCTATACGTCTGCAATCTGAACACATACTCAACCCCAGCGTACCTAGTCCTTATTTTTGATTGAGGAACCACGCTTGCAACTGTAGGGGGAAATATCGGGACAACGAGTTCAGAATATGGCACTGTCCGGAAAAACAGTGCTAACGAGAAACTCTGCCTTGCGTGTTTTACCATCAATACGACTCCTTGTAGAACCAACTCCTACAATAACTCATATGAAATTTGTCCAAGTCTGCTCCATATGACTTTGATCCATGATTGAGTTGTGCGGAGTTAATCCAAAAATAAAGGCTGTGAATAGATCCTTAGCATGTAAGGTACCGCCATTCTGGATGAAGCTGACAGGGTAAATACTGGCCGGTGATAGAAAACCAAATACCATGTATCAAGGGTCAGCCCCCTTTAGCTTGGCCCGCTATACCTGCATGACATTAACCCAAAAAAAGGGGGGGGAAGGGAGAGAACGTATACATATATGTATATGAAAAAGGAAAATATATTACTTTCCAGCCGGCCTGGTGCATCCATGGGTAATTATATTAGCGCATACATAGCGTCAAATTCTTGTGGCGGGGGTTCGGTTTTCTTTGGGATTCATTGTACTCTCTAATTGGCGAAGTGCTGGCGAGAGAGTAAGGATTATACTCCCTACGCCTTGTTTTTATTCCCTCCCTTTTTTTTTTTCATTTACCGGTCTGACGGTTAGGTTTTCGAGCTAGAAATCCCGTAAGTTAAGTATTATGCATTGAACTAGGGATTAGATCAGGGCTCCTATACGCCGCCCCCCTTCCGTCACCTCGTTACCCTATCATATAATCAAGGGAGCCAATAAGTAGAAAATACCGATACATTCTAAAGACTAGGTGTGGTGGCTAGGATGTAGGCCGGACGCTTTTATCCCTAGCCTGACTTCCAGTAATTTGTTATTCCATCTCAAAATGGAGGGTAATCCCCCCTATATACACCTGTTCGTCTAGACTGATCTCACGCTGTATAAAGGGTATCGAATGATGATGAGATCTTTTTCCCCCTGAAAGCATCCTATACTCCATATACACGGAGTAGATGCGATTGTGGAAATGATTCCAGCAGGAATATATTCCCGATGCATGGCGTCGGCTCTCATGGATCCCACATTAATAGCGGAGCCACAGATAGACTGCAAGTCATACCAACTCTTATCCATCGTACAAATACAGAATGAACCCGCCTTCCTGTACCGGGCGAATAGCAGCTTTGGCAACAAGAAGACACGGAGTTGGTAGAGTCGTTGGCTATCCACCCAATGCTCTATTCAGCCAGCTATAAAAAAGTAACCTATGCACCGTTAAGGGGACAAAAGTGATTGCTGTAAGAAAGAGATCCGCCCATGAAGAATTAGAAAAAAAAAAGAAAAAAAAAGAAAAAAGAAAAAAATAGAGAGAATTCAAACGCCCGGAAATTACCTATCTTGAAAACACTGTATGGTCATGATTTCCCCTGCCACTCACCTTCCATGCAAACCGTGCCGAGACGTTGGAAAATCGTAAGACTATTAATTACCCTAAAAGTAGGTATCGTTATAGCGGGTACTCTCCGCCATGGATTGGAAGCCCCTCCCATCTAGTGAATAACCGTCATCGGACCCGTCGCCGCCTGCGGATGTGGAAGGCGAGTATACATCTCCATCCGTTAATTCCACGGGGGAGCTCGTCACCGTGTCATGTGGGAAGAAGGGAGAAGGATAGCTGTGTGTTGTGGTGGGAGAAATCCGAGGTCCAAGTACTTCTTCGATACGGTCTGGTATCTTAGCAGCGAGGAATGCTCGTGCTTCTGAATGTTGCTCGGTCCGAGCGAGATCAGATATCATCTGGCTAACGCCGGACAGTTTCTGACAGAACTGTTTTAGTCCAAACTCGGGACACAACCATATTTGCTGGGCGCTCTCAAATGTAGTTTTTGGCATATCCATGTCAAACGAAAAGGCGGGATCAACAAGAAGGATCTCATCGGTCTGAAGGACAGTCCGAAATACATTCCAGTAAGAGCCGTAGCGAACATAGTTCCCACAAATAGCGTGAAGTTCGTCAAAACTAAACATGACAGTTATTCGAGGAAAGTCTCTCTGTAAACGCGCAGCTATGAGGTTGATAGAAGTCTCTAACGGAGATGCAGAGAGGGCAACTGAGGGATCCTGCATATATCTTTGGCTTTGCGCGAATGTTTCCAGGTACATTAATCGTTGCCCGAGGGGGGTAGCTGAAATATCGGGGACTGGACAAATGGATGACCGAAACATGGTAAAAAAGGGGTTGGAGGCCATAGGGGTACTGGAAGAAGTCAAGCTGAGCCAGTCGACATTTCTGAGGTAGTCGAAAAGCCCTGCCCAAGGGGACTGGCAGTGCGTCTGATGGTTTATTGCGCCGACGGAAGGAACATGAGGGCGCACTGGTATTGATCGCGAAAGCTCTTGGTGGCAGCCAAAGAATCGATTATGGGGGTAAACTTCCATAAGACGGCTAACTGGCCGTGATGTATCCATATCTTTTTGAGACGACCTCCGGGCCATTAGATTTTCGGAACATTCGTAACCATAGTTTTCACAGCGGTCACATTTTGTCCCTGGCCATTGCCTGTTCTCGGGAGAACACTAGATTCCTTGTTAGAGACTCTCGGGCATAAGGGGGCAATATACTGGTCATCCAACCTTCTTGTGGTCTCTACGACAGCGTTGGCACTTGGGAACACCTTCTGAAGGCATCTATTATGAGTAGTGGAAGTTCCGCTTCTTGGTAAGAGGCTAAAAGAGCTAAGGGCTATGAATGTAATAAAAGCAGGTAAAATGATCTCAGTTCCTTAATGCTGCTCTGGGAGAAGAGAAATGTATAGGGAAAGCTAGCCGATAAAAGGTTGGCTGAAGGAGATCAAAATAGATGGGGATGATGGGTGACTTGGAGATCCAGGATGTACTTTGCACCCAGTACTTATATCGGTTATCAGCATATATAGGCTGCCCCAGACTTTTGCTTTTCTTTTTTCCTTTTGATACAAAACAAGATGATCCGTGCGCAGTACGGCGGTGATACTTTTATTCGAAGATTCGAGGTTTTATTCCTTCCTGTGGGGAATCGGAGCATATGCAGACAGAATATAAAAAGCCAAAAGTTAAAAAGAAACAACAGCCTAAGGCTCGGGAAACCAGCGCTGTTGTTAAGCTGTTTGTCACCATGCCGTGGCGTTACAAAGCCAGGGTGGTGTGGATACCTCAAAGGCGGAAGGAAACACTAGGCGGTCAATGTACCGTCGATGCCTAGGAGAGTACATTTCAAAGCCACCCGCTCACCAACTTATTGCCCTTGCCGACATACTGGGTAGCCAATAATGATTATGTGGCTATCGGCGCGTTTGCAAGGGCGAATGTATGCTTCATCCAGAGCTTATTATGCTACATAAGTAGCAAATGCCTAACAATTCTTTTTCCAGGTCAAATTCCGTACGCACCAAAGGGCGTGGCGAACTGCGCTATAATGATCTTAAATATAGTGACGTTCTTATATTTAAGGAAACACAGCCCTCCCCGGGAAGGGGAGCGAAGTTAGCATTGTACGTAGCATAGGGCAAGGGTCGGTATAAGCGTGGCACGCTGCAGCACATCATTCATTAGAAGCTGGTAAAATTTCAAGGAAACAGGTAGTAAATTTGCAGACTTGGGGTTTGCAAACGGCGTAGCTGCAGAAATTATCCATTACTGTTCAAAGAGCCTTCAAACAGATATGGTAAATGGCAAGACCCTGTAATTGCCGTTAAGTGCACGACGATCCGCTATTGTAGCACCGGGGCAGGACTTGTGACGCAGGGTGCATTGGGTTAAGCTCCATCACCTAACTGGAAACCATCACGCAGGCCTTTAGATTGGCCCCAGGATATTCAGGGTTGATTTGTTGGCTGTCACCATGTGGTCTGAATAGATGGTAATGAGCGGTGATTCGATCTTCGGTCTACCGATGAGAAGATGGCCGGGAGCCACGGAAATCCTTCACCATGAAAAAGGAGAGAAGAAAGAGATGAGTGGGGATGATTTTTCACCGTATCACTCTTCTGTCATCATAGCCTGGCTAAGCCCTTTCAGGGAAAAGTGTAACGATATCTCAGATCTTTGGAGGCCCACCGGTTAGATTCGAGAATGGCTTAGGCGTGAACGGCGTTTCGAGAAAACGCTGGCTGCAAGGGGCGGAGACGCGTTGCACCTGTGTATCCAGCCTCGACCAGCGAAGCAATAAGAGCCGAAGTAAGCTAAGACGGTGTGGCGACATAGGGGATATCGAATTGATGCCTATGAGGCTTCTCGGCAATTCTGGTTCTTTGATGCATATATACATTGTGAGCCCTAGAGTTTTTCGGAGGGGCCTGTATTGCTTTTCCATCCCCAAAATAGCGGGATTGCAGACCGGATTCATCCCGGTGGTACATAGATTATCTCTCAACCACTTATGCCGTTTCTATAGTGTTAAGATGCATGAAGGTCTGAAGGCTTGAATAATTCCTCCCTATAGACAAGGGTAACGGGACATGTCAGCACCCAGAACGGTGATCCAGAGAGCTGTGTCCGAACAAATCGAGCAATCTTTAGCGTGACAAACCGTTCCATCTGGGCCATCTTGTCATCTTCTCTCTCTATCTTGCTTTCTCTGCATGAAGGAACAGTGTATAAAATAACAAAATAAACCGACCTCGATATAAGCTATATTTTTATTTTCTTGTCAAAGCTCGTCACGTGCTAGCATAATCGCAACGTCATAAACATCCAACTTTTTAACTTCAACATCAAAAAAAAAAAAAAAAAGGTGCCACCAGCCGTTGCTTAAGACCCTGAAAAATCCCGTGTTACAGTAAGTGATATGTGGTTATACAGTTTTTAGATATGCAGCACTACTTTTCCTGTGATTTCATTACATATCCGCACACTTGAAGGCCATAGTTGGTCCCCTCCGCCCCCTTCGCAAACATGGTATCTCAAGCTGTGGCATTAGAAACGCCCATGTCGAAACCGCCAACTATCCACCTTCACTCACAGCCACCAGCACTCTTGCTTGCCATCTACCCTATAACTCTCATTGTGGGCTCCGTGTACTCTCGGATATCGCCAACCGCGAACCCTCCGAGCCCATCGTCAATAAGTTCGCAGACCTCAGAACCGGTTAATTATTTTGCCCGGAAGGGAAACGTTTTCAACGTATATTTCGTTAAGATCGGATGGCTTTGGATGAGCTTGGCGTTTCTATCCCTTCTTTTAACGCAGCAAGCATTCATCAGTAAAAGGATATCCGCAGATTGTCGTCTGAGACGCGTTGGACAAGCCCTCTTTCGTTATTCTATAGTTACTTTTTCCTGGATCTTGACAACACAATGGTGTTTTGGACCCCCCATCATTGATCGCGGCTTTCTTGCAACCGGTGGAAGATGCGAATTGATCCAACAAAAGGGGCTGCTTGAAGATCCATCACGGCCAGGCTTAAACCCGGCTTTGGTTCTAAGCTCAGTGTCGTGCAAAGCTTCGGGAGGTACTTGGGAAGGTGGCCACGACGTGAGCGGACATGCATTTATGCTTGTTTTAGCAAGTGCATTTTTAATATTTGAGATTCTGGGTTCAAAACTGTCGACCATTATTAGCAACAATGGTAAAAGTGTTGGGGAGGGAACCCAGGGCACCATGGAAACCCAAGCTGGAAAAGGTGGATCTAACGATATATCGCCCTTTCTTGCTGAGCTCTCTCAAAATTTCGTTTGGACGATAGTGGGCCTATCTCTGTGGATGTTACTCATGACAGGGATTTGGTTTCATACATGGCTTGAAAAGGTAAGTCCATCAGCTGCGTTCGTCTACAAGTTACTTCTTTCCGCTACCTAGTTTTTAATTATTTTTTTTTTATTCACTAACAAACTCTGCCTGTAAAGATGTCGGGTTTAGTCCTCGCGCTCGCTACAGTATATCTTGTACATATACTTCCCCGTTTCTCACAAACGTGGTGTAGCTTTATTGGCATACCCGGAATATAAATTTAGATCAATGAAATAGATGATTAACTTATTAAATATAACTAATACACCCTCACTTTGTCCATTCTTTTACGGTTATGTTCCACCAATCTGTAACAACTCTCGAGCTCCTAGGATGTTAATAGAAGAATAGGCTATAGAACCAGGGAACAGAAGTGGCCTTAGATCTCAAGGTCCACGGTGTACAATTTGAGCTCCTCCCCTTTTGTTCATTTAGGCTAAATCTTTTGCTTTGATAGGTTCAGGGCCAAAGAAACCCACATAGAATGCTATGAAAGGAAATGTGAGTAGAATGTTTACAATCACCCTTGTACACCGATCTCACTTACCTCCTGGAATTAATGCAGCCGCGTGCATGACCCTCGTGATCGGCTCCAGGCTATCTGGTATCTTTATATTACCATCGTTATACTGGCCAAGGAGGTTGTCGGAGAAACGTTTATAGTAATCGTATAATTGTCCTTTTGTACCTACTGCACCTCTAAAACAACTGATACCAAGGGAGGCCCCAAACTCCCTAAAGGCAATACGATCTGAGCCATCTTGAAGGCAATTATCCTGGTTAATGAGTGCTCCTAGATAATGATAGCAAGGGAAAAAATCAGCTTTTCATTTACTGGGAAATAAGATTATAGCAAAGAATCAGCCGTCCTTGGGATGTCAATAGAAGTTCTAACTTACGAAGGATCTTGAAGCATCGAGACGCTACAGTGGTAGCCCAATCTTCAACACCATAAAACCATTGGGTCGAGACAAGAGTCATTCCCACATCGAGAAAATCCATTGAAGGTATAGACTGCAATCTAGAAGAAAACAGCTTCTTGTAGCTGGATATTTCTTCCTTGAATACTTGGCCGTCCCCAAACTCTCGGGCAGACGCTTGAACAAGCGAGTAGATGACGTAGCCATCTAGCGGGTCTAAGTTACCCTGGCTAGAGACTAGAGGGTGTGAAAGGTCCATTGATACTTTCCATACCATATGAGGGTTATCTGTGTAAAGCCCAATGAAGAAGTGCGGATGAATAGCTTTCCCCAGCGAACATGCCTGTCTGTTGTAAGTTGGATCCCCAGTTGCCATTGACATTCGATTAAGAGCAAACATCCATAGTGTCAGATAATGGTGGTATTGGCCATCACAATCTGGGCCGGTCTCGTCCACTTTCCCAATTCTCAGCCCTCCTGCCAGTGGTTCAAATTTAGTTGCACCTGGTAAGCGGGAATTTCCATCTCGAGTTCTGCCTAAAACATCATGGACGGTTTCCACAAGGCGCTTTGCGAAGGCAAGATACTTCTCCGGGTGTACGTGTTCTGCCTTTAGGTCGGAATACATTTTATACAGTGTCAGAAAGTTCATGACACCAAAGGCATCAGTCCATAAGTACCGCCCACGATGGCCCCCAACAGATGGAGGAATCCAGGAGGATGGATCTGGAATATTCTTAAACTTGCCATACACGTTCTCCATGGAGGCCTCAAATATTTCCATGATGGACTTGGTTTTTGGGTCATCCAGAGACATCGTTATGTCGTAAAGATCTATGGTTGTTGGGTACCCTGATACCAGGATGTCACAAGCTATTGTTGTGTTGATAGTAACGGCAGGTTAGCTGAGCCAACTAAGTTACTCTTGAGGCTCTAAAATGATAGAGAGAATTTCGTCGTGCTATTGACGTCTCTTTCTCCCTCCGAGACTCTATGGCCTATGTTGACAGGAGATGGGAAGGTAGAGGGCTTCTTGGCAAAATGAAGTCATCAGTGGCGTCAACACGCTTGATATATAGTTCATAGACTGTAATCTGTTGGCCATTTCTTTTTCAATCGTTCTCATTTTAAAGCACTACTTGAAAGAAAACGATATAGTACTATATTGTGTGGCGATCAATTTATTTCCAGTATAGTTAAATTCCACCAAGACATAATGGCAGCGGAACTCGTCGATCTTATTAAATCGAATGCAAAGCCTCTCCCGCCCCTTTCAAGTCGGTCTTTCGGGTCTCAATTTGACCACCTTGGGAAGTATAAGGTCGTCTTGCTCGGTGACGGAACGCACGGCACATCAGAATTCTATCGAGCCCGCGCAGAGATAACCAAGCATCTCATCCAACACCACGGCTTTGATGCTGTAGCTGTTGAGGCAGATTGGCCTGATTCTGAAGCGGTAGACAGATATGTGAGACAACGTCCGGGTGTTAAAGCAAAAATCGAGTGCCCAGAGGAACCCGCCTTCCAGCGATTTCCAACATGGATGTGGCAAAATTCAGACGTTCAGGACATGGTGCACTGGATGAGGGACCATAATCGCAATCTCCCACATCACAAACGAGTTGGTTTTTATGGGTTGGATTTGTACAGTATGGGCCGATCCATCGACTCTATCATCAAATACCTGGACACAATAGATCCAAAAATGGCAAAGCTTGCTCGCCAGCGCTATGGGTGTTTGCAACCTTGGGTTGAAGATCCAGCGGAGTATGGCTTAGCTAGTTACCTTGATAGTGGAATGAATACTTGTGAAGAACAAGTACTCGACATGCTCCGTGATCTTCTTCAGAAGCGCTTGGAGTACACAGCGGCACATCGCGACGGTGACGAGTTTCACAGTGCAGAGCAAAATGCATTTCTGGTAGCTGACGCAGAGGCTTATTACCGTGCTATGTATTCAAGCTCCGTGGATTCTTGGTCTCTTAGAGACTCCCACATGTTCGAAACTCTGAAACGTCTCCTCACTACTAAAGGCCCAGAGTCCAAGATTGTTGTTTGGGCACATAATAGCCACATTGGTGATGCCAGATATACTAGCATGGGAAGACGCAAGGGTGAACTGAATATCGGCCAGTTATGCCGCGAAGGATTTGGCAGAGAAAACGTTGCTCTAATTGGGTGTAGTACACATACGGGAACAGTGGCAGCCGCTAATGAATGGGGCAGTGATGTGGAAATCATGGATGTAGTGTCCTCGAGAAGTGACTCTTGGGAACACTTAGCCTATCAATCTGGGCAAGATACGTTTTATCTCGAGCTCAGGAAGGATTTGGCCAATCCTGAGCTGATACGTGCAATAGCAAAGGCGTCCCCCAAATTAGAGCGATTTATCGGAGTGATTTATCGCCCCAAAACCGAACGTACCTCTCATTACTCGTCTACCGATCTCGCGGACCAGTTTGACGGCTTTGTCTGGTTTGAGCGCACAGAGGCAGTTAAACCTTTGGTAACGCATCAACCGCATGATCACATCGGCGCAGACGAGACCTACCCATTTGGGCTGTGAACGAATATATATGTATATCGCTGCATATAAGTATGTCAATGCTGTACTTTTAGCAATTGCCATTCTATTTAGGGGGGAGTGAAGAAGGTACAAGGAAAACGAGTAAATGGGCCTTTGGAACTTTGGACCCTGCAGGGCGAAGCTATGCTTGTTGATCTAGTGGATATACTCACCGGCATGGCGCCCGAGAGTTAATTTGTGTGTGGCGGCCACTGCATGCAAATGTCCTGCAGGACTAGGCGTATACCATCACAGCTATAATTAGAGCATAGGAAACCTACGTTGGGTGAAAACCCCTGTCGGGTATTATCAAGAAGGTAAGGTGGTCAATAAGTGCCCAACAAAGGTGTCATGGATCGCTCAGCCACCGTCTCTGCAACTACCCGTAGGTATGACAGGTATTATTCATATATTATCACTCAATATACCGAAGTAGCGGTAGCCGTTCAAATGCAAAGCGAATTCGGAGTTGCTGTTGGGTATGTCGGACAGAAAGAGCTCGTTTGTATCACGATGGGGCGGAAATGCGAAAGCGCATCCACTTAAGCCAGGGATGAATTCAAAGGGCAGTTGCAAAAGACTGGGATCTCCATCTGTTTCCCTATTAGGATAGAGCAATAATCTGCGGTTCTGGATAATGTTATATTAGTTATCAGTCAATGGCATCTATGTACGGGAGTAGTACGGAATACAATGAGGCAAATGCCGGATTTCACCTATAAGGACTTTCATTGACTTACTGTTCTTAGCCAACAATACTTGCCAGCTTTCCTTTCTCATGTAACGAACATATTATGCAAATAGTACGGAGTATGTACATAATACAGGGTAAAAATAAATATGTCAGATATTAGGCATTGGAGGGAGTGAAGCGTAAGGGAAGATGTTTGTCGATGTCGCGATACCAACTTTAGAATGACTAAGCGGGATGTTTGCGCTGTTTGCTCCGGATGACATCAGCTTACCTAAGCTGTGGTTTGTTTACTTTCTACCGAATCCGTTTTACATCCACAACAGTTCAACGTCGAGTGGAGAGAGAGATGAGAAAGCATCCCACGACCATCGAGCAAAGCAGCATCTAGACAGCCATATCTCCGGGCGCACGATCAGAAAATATCTTACAGTTCTCTTCTAATTTATAAACAACAAGTTTGAATTCCTTTGTGAATTAAGAGGGTGTTACCGTCCTTTGCCATGGCAACCCGTAGGTCTGCTCGATTGAGAGGCCAGACGCCAGCTATTGAAGTGAGGGCTACACCACAACATCCATAAAAACAACATTTCTAATGCGCAACCCTATGCTAACATTCATTGAATAGCCTATCGACATGAATTTTAGACGCTCTCCGTCCAAGCGTCCAGTGGAGAAATGTGAAGACCCTTCGATTGAAACAAAAAAGCTCCTCGAATCAATACCTTCTACGCCCAAAACAAACCCCTCCAAGGCCGTGACTACTCCAATACCATCATCAACAACCCAAAACAAAAGGGTACCCAAAACCCCTGATAACCATAGCGCTGCCAAGCCTAGTATTGGAGAAATGCATCCCAGCAAGGTGCAGCAAAGCACCACAAAGCAACCAGACACTGGGCTCTGCTTGGGATTCAGACCTATCCAAGATAGTTCTAAAGGTTCACTACAGCCAGTTCCTTCTATAATAAATACCCCGTCAAAAGGAAGGGTTTCAAATGCCGATGAACTCAACAAAATGAGCTTCGACTTCAAATTTCCCTGCGGAGAATCCCAACTTAGCGAGGAAGCAAAAAAACTCATGGAAAGTCTTCGAGAGGAAGCAGCTAGGATTAAATCACAGATGGTTATTGAACAAAATACGCAAAAGCGTAAAGACGAGGAGGCTGAAGCTCAACCAACAGCTCGGAAGATCGCGAAACCCAAGGGCATTGCAGGCCGTTTCAGCTCAGCCCACATGGCCCAGTTTCGAAAGATGGACTCGATCGAGGGACACCCTTCAGCCTTCAGAACCCGAGTTGAGCCTAACGCAGCATCTCCCTCAAAGTCTCTCAAGCGTAAAAGTTCGAAAGCTCAGCTTGGCGAGCCAGAGAAGGAGGTGCCAGCGAAGACTCGAGTTACTCAAGCTTCTAGAGCAACTTTGACAGCCCATTCTGTACGGCGATGTGGAACAGCAAATGAAACCCTGCCAACTCGAGTTCCCTTATCTGGTGAGAGTTCACAAGTTCAGAATAAGACATCTTCAAGTGTTGCCCACTTTGATAAGTCCAAATTTTCGACTCCACAGAAGCCTACAATACCTCGTTCTACAAGCGTAAAGTATCCCCACACCGTGAAGGCATGCTCTATATCACGCTCGCCGTCTCGCAAATCCTTATTTGAACCTCCCAAGACACCTCAAACCGATGTGAAATATAAACCAAAGATGCCCGCCCTCAAATCCATCCTCCGCAAGCCACAGCCTCTTTTTTCCAATGACCCCGAGAAAATTGCGGCTGGTACTCATCAACCTTTACCGCGAGCAGATTTTGACACCAAGCTACTCGGCCTGTCAGACAATTTTAAACCCTCCATAACAATGTCATCAAGGAAGACCGTAGATTTTTCAGCAAGCACAAAACTTCGCGATGCTTGCAATGATGCATCTCCATCTGCTGTTGCTTCAAAATCTCAAGCTAGTGGCCCGCGGGATGTTATTTATCCAACCCTTCCTCCAGCTACTCCACCACAAGAGAGAAGGGTTCCCGGCTTCACTTTCAAGCTCCAGTCGCCAACCGTCCGTGATGTCACTTCCACTCAGAGATCTAGCAAATTACAATCCTGTCTGGAACGCTCTTCCATCCCACACGGGATTGCAAATAAGAAACGGCGCCGTGACGATACCGAGGAGCCCCGGACCCCCCAGAATGACCGTTTCATCAAGAGGCTTAAACAAAACCCCACTACTCCTTTGATGCAAACTCCTAGCCCTGCCAAGAGGCGTCTACCCGCTACTATTACTCCAAGACGTAATACCCCTAGCAGCAAGGTGCAGAAGGGCAAAGGACTTACTCTTAGCCGACTGAACTTCCTCGCAACTCCCAAAATACGCCATTGAGTCGACACAGTGCAAACATATCCCCCTTCCGGTAATCTCATGTTAATCATCTTGGACTTTTTTCCTCAATACCCTTTCTGGTGCGCTGTAGTTACATTGATCGAAATACCCCTTAATCCTCTTTTTGCCCTAGCTCAGATGAATATGTGAATTGGCAGGTGTTGGAGCTTTTTATGGAGATATTCATTGGTTTTTCTTTTTCTTTTATTTCAATCTTGGTTTTGTACCTGGGGGAATGGTTGAGTGGAGTGGCAACTGTATGGTGGTATCTTTCTGCATGTTTTACTTAGTCGTCCTCAGCAAGGGACCTTCGCTAACCCGGCAAGAAGCCAAAGGGATAAAAAAAATAAAAATAAAATAAAATTCTACATAAATTATTTATCATTGCTTAGTTTAACGCACTGGTATTCTGTGCACTCATGTCTATTGGATTTAGTTCCATTCAAGTAGTGTAGAAAAGATAGGCCGTGAAAACCAAACACACCCTCATAACCCTGTTCAACATGACATCATACTTATACAAATAATCTTGAGATAAAAAATGGAGAGGATAGGAAGGGGCGGATTATTACAAAAATAGAAATGCCCTACTAACACCTTTTTTCTTTCCCTTCTTCACCAGACGCCGCATTATAAAAGAGGCAGAGGTATCAGGGGTATTTATCTGTATGGCAATGCGGCCGAGTACCCAGAGAAAATAGTGGTAACAGGAAGGGGATGTTCAGAAGAGGAAGCAAAAGTATCAAAAGAAAATGCAGGAATACAAAAGTGAAATAGAGGAGATGCATTCAAGAAGAGAGCAAAATTGAAAGTCGTGGGTCTCGGATTATCATGTCGTTCGAAATTGTAGTAGCGTTTTCGCTCAGAAATAGGCGATTTTTTATGCGGTTTAACGCTTCATAGAAGCCAAGAAAGAGTCAAGGTTATATTCTTCTTCGTATTGGCGGTCGTCCCATAATTCGCCTAGGTCGTCAAGCCAGCCCTTCTTCCCCTTTTCTTTGACTTCACCGTCAATGTCGACCATGTCGATTTCATTGCCGGTTCCATCCTGTGTTGGCTTTTCCGCCGAGTCTGCTGTTTCGCCTAGATTAAATAGGTCAAGAAGCTGGTCGGTATCCATGGTGCTTAGTCCCGCGTTTTGCTGGTTGACTACAGTAGAGGTGACGTCAATCTTGAAACGTTGTAGACTAAAGGAGAGTTAGTGGTCAAGCCATAGAGTTAGAATATGGGTGGTGGTAACATACTTGAGAATCTTTTCTTCAAGGGTGCCACGGGTAATTAACCGATAGACGTTGACAACCTTCTTTTGACCAATTCTGTGAGCGCGGTCCATGGCTTGGATATCCTTTTGCGGGTTCCAGTCATGTTCAACAAATATCACAGTGTCAGCACCAGTCAAGTTCAATCCAAGACCTCCGACACTTGTAGTAAGAAGAAGAACATCATAGCTGGGGTCAGTATTGAACTGATTAACGATATTTTGACGCTTCGTTGCTTCAACGCTTCCGTCAAGGCGGAGGAATTGGACGGATGGAAGCAACTTTCTAAGGACGTCATTTTGCACAATATCAAGCATTTCCTTCATTTGGCAGAAAATCAGGGCTCGATGTGGGCTAACGTAGCTTGCGCCAGTGGCCAATTCCCCTTCAGCTGAAGGGTCAACTCCAATGCCGCAGTCAATGAGTAAATCACGAAGCGCACTAAGCTTCGGAGCGTGAGCAATGTCCCGGATGTGAGAGTTCTTCGAGGCAAGAAGTTTTTGGACTTGGTGGTATTGTTTATGTCCTTCTTTCATCACCAATGCAGGTGAATTGCAAAGTCGTCTCATGTACTGCAAAGCTTGGAAAATGTGCTCTTTAGCTTCCTTTTCGCTGCTGCCCACCTTGTTGGCGATGTCTTTCTGTTCCTTCTGAGTGAAATCTTCGAACAACTTCCGTTGGAGATCACTTAAGTCACAGTAATAATTCTGTAATATCTTTGGAGGGAGATCGTTCAGGACCTCCTCCTTCAGTCGACGTAGTAGGAAAGGAAGGACTTGTTTGTGCAATGCCTCAATTGCTAATGCACCGGCTTCTTGCTCCTTGGAGGATGATTTGCTAAATCGGCTGGCAGCGATTGGTTTTGCGAAACGTTCAAGGAATATCTTCTCAGTCCCAAGGAACCCGGGCATCAAGAAATCGAAAAGAGACCATAGTTCCAAGACGTTGTTCTGAATAGGTGTTCCAGACAGGATCAAACGATGATTACTGACAATGCTCTTCACTGCTAGGGTGATCTTCGCCTTCGGGTTCTTGATCAAATGTCCTTCGTCCAGTACACAGTAGTTCCAGGATATATTAGTAAGAACTTCGCTATCATTTCTGCAGATATCGTATGAGGTAATCACAACATCCACAGAATCAAGAAGTGGTCTTACTTTCGCTCGCTCTCCAGGCGGTCCCATATAAGCCACACAGGAAATGAAAGGTGCATATTGTTTAATCTCCTGCTGCCAGTGACCTGAAACACTGGGAGGACAGATTATCAGAGAGGGCAATCGGCGAACCTCAGGAGCCTGTGTTTTAGCGAATTCTTCCGCACGTAGATGATGGTCACTGGCAACTATGCAAAGCGTCTGTAGTGTTTTTCCAAGACCCATGTCATCGCAAAGAATACCATGAAGGTTGTAACGGTTCAAGAAGGCAAGCCAGTTAACACCTTCTTGCTGGTATGACCGGAGTTCCGCTTTGATGCCAACGGGGATTTGGAATGGTTCAACCTTTCTAACATCCAACATTTGAGCCATAAATTGTCTTTCGCGATCCCTGCCTTTCAGCAAGTCTTCAGAGAGACCTGGTGGGTCGGGAATACCGGCTTCGAGGGGAACGAGTTTGACTAGGGTCGCGAACGCGGTGGTTGCCAACAACCGAACGTCATTGTCCGAATCACTCATACGTCCAAGAACAGGCACAATTAAGAAGATCACGTATGGGAGGATCTGGTCTTCCATGACATGAATCAGGTGGTAGATACATTCGATGGCCCCTTGTCTGTGGTGGACGTCTAGTGCATTGTTGATTGTAGGCAAAACCTTCTCGACAAGCATCGTCATACCTTCAACAGGGATAACACTGCATAGTGTAGCGAAGCATTTCGCAGCAGCATATCGGATGACAGAGAGTTCACTCTGTAGCGACTTTGCAATGATGGGCATAAGTTGAATAATCCAAGGGTATAGTCCGGGGTTAAATTTAGGAACCAAGGCTCGAAGAGTTGAGAGCCCGTCGACGGTTTCCTGACCCAAAGTGTTTGATGAATCTCTTATATTGGCAGGAAGGTCACCGGCTAAGGCTTCTCGGACAGGATTCTGTATCAAGCTGGCTAAATTCGGAACTTTGTCAAATAGTTGTGTTCCAAACTTGCCAGCCAGCTGCTCCAATGCCTCCTTTGCACCACGACGCATAACTCTAGCTTCTTTCGATTCCTTTTCAAACTTGACGCTATCAACCGGGTCGCGCTTATCCTCTTCCTTGCGCAGGGATAAAACAGCTTTCTCTAAGTGAGCGTTATGGTGGAACTCCGGAGTCTCCGTAGTATCAACGCAGCAGAACTTGACGAGATTGCCAATGATTTTGTCGACAGGACCACGTTTCGCGGCACTTGTATAATACTCAACTAAAGACGAAATAGCACTAGCTGATCTCCTCTGTAACTCGACGTTTTCTTCCTTTTTGATGCTGTCCATCATGGCTTTGATAAGATAGCTTGGCTTTTTGGGAATGTTCTGTAGATAAACAAGCGAGCTAGCAATCACAGCTCTGATTCGCATATCTCGCTGTTCCTTGATTTCTTTCGCCTCGTCGACATTAGCTTGTGCAGTCTGACGAGAGTCATTGAGTACTTGCAGTGCGGTTAGTCTCTGGGTAGGAGTGAGTTCTTTCTTGAGGCGTTCATAATCAGGCCCTAGAACCTTTTCAGCATCCCGTATTGAAAAGGCGTTAGGTCCTGCTTCCGGTTCTCCCTGGACAACAACGGCGAGAGTAGGCAATTTGGAAGGCGATACGTGCGCGTGGTCACGGAAGGTATTTAGAAGAGAATGGCATTGTGATCTGGAGATTTGCAAGTAGCAAGCAATATCGCTGTACCAGGATGGTCGATCATTTTCAAGTAGGGGATTCAACCACTCGGACAGTGCAGGTGGGTAAGGGGAACCGGGGTTACGATTCTTTGCATATTCTTCAATCACCATAGCTGCTGCCAGTTGAGATGTGGATCCAGGCCAGCTTAAGCAAGGCAGTATACCCTGCCATAAATCTGCGCCGTTCGCAACCTGCCATACTTTCAAGAAGCGGCCAAGAGCAGAGGCAGCGTATATCTTCGATCTAATCATTGTATCTAAGCCGACCAAATCTATATCGCCCTGCAACATGTGACCGTCAACGTTGTGTGTATTAATTGGCGCTGGCTCCTGCTTTTCAACCTTGCGTCGTCGGCCTCGCGCAGGGGGCTCAGCTGGTGTATTGGGCGATTGTCGTCGTGGCCCTGATGGAGCAGATGTGTAAGGTAACCCGGAAGGTCGAATAAACAAGCAGGCGTCCATTGGAATTGGATATCGCGGTACACCAAACGGATTCATGGTTGCTGTTATTAGTGGTTGTAGGGAGCCTATGAGCTGATCCCCGCTCATCAATCTATGTTTTTCAGCGACCTTCAGCATCTCGCACCATACTTGCAATGATAGCTTGAGAACCGCCTCATTACGCTCCACGAGCAAGTTCTGGAATATTAGTCGAAGGGACCTGCCATCCACCCAGGTGTTCTGGTCATCGGTGTCAAGCTCGAGAAAGGTAAGAAGTGCTCTTAGAACAGCCGATCTCACACTGGAAATGGTATGTCGTAAGAATGGGAATAATCTGGGGACTAAGTTTCCAAAGGAGGAGTTGGCGTCATGGACAGCATTCGCTTTCATTGCCTCTAGTACTTGAGGGAACGTGCAGAGCTTTGCAAGAAGATCCATGACAGACCCGGTACTGGCGCTAAGATCATCCTGCAAGTTCGATAGACAGTTCCACACAACCTCTATTAACGCGCCTAGGGAGCCGCCACGAAGTTTAACAAAGTCATCTGCAATGGGTATCAAGGTTGCTGCACTAACAGCACGGACATCGTCATCATAATTATCCAGTCCCTTCATTACAGCTTCAATAACGCCATCGAGCACGGCAGACTCTTTCATTAAAATGTCTGTACGGACTGCAACAAGATACTTCAACCCAATCATACCGCCATGACACACTTCCCAAATGGGCTTGTCGAGGTCCAGATCGCTCTGCATTACCATCATATGGAGAATATGATAAACGCGGGTGACTGATTTGTCCGGCAGGTGAGACAACAGGGCGCCCATTGTCTGACCCACAGTTTCTCGAATTGGTGCTACAACATTATCGGAAATGTAATCACCGAACCTGTCCAGCATGAAGACACAGAGTAAACGACAGGCAAGGTCGCTCAGCCAACGATGGTTTAAGGCATCATTCTCCGCTCTCGTCTTGCCATACTGCCGTCCCGCCCCATGCCCCTGGACACGTATTACTTCTCGAAGGCCCATGGCAGCTCCATGACGGATATCCCAGTTCTGGTCAAACAGATCCACCATCAAAATCTCACACATCCGCTCATACGGCCATTCTAGATCCTGACCATCGGAAGAAACTGTCTGAATAAAGGGCTTCTCCGGGACGAAAGCGCCCTTGAACTCCTTTACAAGCTTGGAGTCGTCATCTGGGCCTTCTCTCTTGATGGAGAAGTAGTCATCTTTGGCGTCATGGTCATCACCCCCGTTTTCCTTCTTAACTGGGTGTGGAGTAGAGGTTTCGGTGGGTGTAGTTATGGCATCAGACCCCTTTCGAACAGCCAAATCAACGATACGGATCTTGTTGGCGCCTAGTTTGGCAGTCTGTTTATTCTTCCGTTTCAGCTGATTAAGCTGTCGTTTGCTCAAGCCATGGTCGTCCCCATTGGCGGATGGAGGAGCCTCCTCTAGCGGTGAGTCACGGTTAAGTGGGTTTAACGGGCGAGCAAACGGACCGACCGAGGTGTCCAGGGTAGGGGTAGGCCTGGGCATTAGACTAGGTTTCCTCTGTGATCCATTAGAAATTTCGGTATCATGGATGAGATCCTCTTCAGGGTATTGACCGGTGAGCCCAAGCCGCCCTTTCAAAGTCTTCTTTTGATACTGTAGCCTAGATATGGGATCCAGGCCAGCAACTGCATATTCATACTCCTTACCACCGCTGCCAAGTAGCTTATGACCATACTTGAGAACCGAAAGCATGTCCAGGGTTTCAAGATCGAGCAGCTCATCCGGTCCGTCGCCATTTTCCTTCTTAGGTTCAGCTTTGGCCTCAGTAGCAGTAGCGGCAGTGGCATCATCTGTGGGATCATCTGCATTGGGATCCAGTTTCTCTGCAAACGAGACTATACCACCGATGGCCTTGGCAGCGGCTGTCCTGGTATCCCATGACTTCGACCGAAGGTACGGAAGTATACGCCCTAGAAGGTTGAACAGCTCATCTGGATGCTGTTTCTGTACGTCTGCCAGCTGTTGAGCGGCTGTGTTCCTGATGACCTGTGTGCTCCCTGTCTCTAGAAGCCTACACCGTTATAAAACAGATCGTCATGTGACCATGTCAGCGCTCCAAATGTTATCTGCTTAGTCATTGTAAAAAACGTTACTCACGTGACCAAGCGATCTAGCCTACTGTGGTAAGAGTTAGCATAAGTCAGCAAAGTGGGTGTCGGGGAAAGACTCGTGATTGGGTCGCCACCAACCTTGAACCCATCTTTTCGCCTTTTTTATTGCTCTTTTTTTCACTTGTTCTTCAGACGCGCTAAAAAGGATGTAGATAAAAGGCACCCCCAAGTAATCAAAGTAAGGAAAAAAAAAAGTACTAAGCAGAAGTGAAGGATAGAAGCAGCCAAGCGACTATCATTCCCATCATCTAGAAGGAGGGGAAAAAAAAAGGAATATCAAAAAAAAATGTAATGAAGTAAGAGGGAAGAAAAAGAAGAAGCCGAAGAAGCGCGTCAGATTAATAGTAGCGTATTAAGAGGAGCGAGCCGATAGGGCGGACCAAGAAGACTTATATGGAAGTTTTAGAGTGACTGCTGGGGGGAAGCATGGCCTCTTTGGGCGAGTATAAGTACTTAGCCCTCGAGAGAGTGGATGGTTTGTGAGTATGTTGTGTGTGTGCGTGTGTGGGTAAGGCGGGTGGAAGGTGAGTAAGGGGGGAGACGAAAATGGTGTGTGGTGGGAAGGGGGCAAAGAAAGAAAGACGCTGTTTGGGCAGTGCCGGGTTTAGAGAATAATTTTCTATCGAGGTCGCGCAGCATGTTTATATCATCTTGGGCCAGCGTCTTTTTTTCTCTGGCGCGGCAGGCTCCACCGCTAGTCCCTTTTCGGCCATGGCGCGCGCCCCCCTTACAAAACCCTGCGCCGCTATTAGACGCACGTGACCACCCCTGGTGCGCCCCTTGAGGGTCCTCCCAAAGGATGCCTACAGGCGAATGCTGGAGAGAAGGAGATGTTATCGCGGATACATGCATACATACACAGAATCACCGGACATACTATGTAATTAGGAAAGGCTACGACATGGGATGGACAGGCCGTTTATGTCTGAAACCGTTGGATGAAAAGAAGATGGGAGGATCGCTAATGCAGGCACACAAACACACAGACGATCCCAGGTTGCTCCGGACACCGGGACGGACAGGCTGATATACATCGCTGTGCTATAATATTTTTCGACAAGCTTTCGGGATTTAAGTCGACGAGTGGCACATCGAAGCACTTTCATACGTAAAATAAATAGCCCTGTGGAGGAATTATGCAGAGCGCTTCGTATGTGAGGGATCCCACTGCGAAATTCTCGAGGTCACATGACCAGAAAAAGCCGGGCCCAACAGCCTCGTTCTGTCAAAGAGCTGATTTATTTAGATGGCTTGCTTGGGTAGGCGATAAATAGTCTCGATTTGATGAGGATGATTGAAGGAAGGGAGAGCCTCCTCCATATGATAGGCCACCTTCGTGGTAACATATTTATGTGTAGCCCACGAGGCGAAAGTCGGAAGTGCCATGGCCTGTTATATAACAAGTCAAACCTCTCACGCACTTGAAACTAGGCCAAAATTCAAGATATCATGTATATCATTTTATGTGGTTAATATTACAAGTGCATCCACATAGTTATTGTGCACAGGTTTCGTACCATGGATGAGTCGAGAGAAGGTAAACAAAATATGCTAAGAGCCTGCACCACGGATGGTTACAAATCACCAAGAGCAGTGCATTGCCGCGTTGGAAAGTTGAGTAATAAAACATAAACTCCAAGGCATATCGCCGCATACACGGAGCGGATACAGAAGAAAACACTTTCTAAAACCCAGGCTTCTTCTTCTCCCTTCCTCGTTCTATTTACAAATAGATAACATTTCCCAACCCCCCTTCCCCCACATCTCGAGTGCTGTCTAGCCCTTGATCATGACGATTTCGCATCTTCTTTGCCCAGCAACCCCAACGGGCTTATCTGTTCGGCTCTAGGCGCGTTTTCTCTGGGGTGGGAAGACATGGCTTTTCGGTAAGCGTTTTGCATCTCTCGAGTTCTCGCAGCCTAGTAGGAGACATCATTTAGTCTCATGTTCAGAGTAATAATCTCCTCGTTTATCATCGATTATAGTTGTAGGGATATGGTCCATGGGAACTCATCAAGCCTAAGGTTGGATAGCATGCTGACCTCTTTTTTGTGGTGTAGGCATTCATAATAGTCGTCCAGAACCCCGACGCATTTCTTCTTTCCAGCCTCTCCTTCTGCCGAGTTGACGACGTAGCAGCCTAGCAAGTCCTGCCAGAAGGGAAAACACCGGGACACGCCTAGAAGTTCACCAAGTTAGCAGTCTGACCAAAGGCCGTGTATCGTCGACTCCACGGGATGGCCGGTGAGGAAAATGGCGGCCTAAGGAAGTGAGTGATACTTACCACCGTTAAGACCGTAACCTGAAGCCATTGTGTCTCAATTGCGTGTGTGAGGGTTGTGATTTCAAGTCGACCTTGCGGTTTCGCCGAAGTTCGAAGAGCGGATGGTTGTTCCCTAGAGGTGGTCCAAGCTTTACTTGCTCACCTAATACAGAAAAAAAGGGCCACATCTTAACTATCTACTTTGTAGAAGCCATCCATCAACACAACAGAGCAACCTGGGCCTGTTGACCATGATAATATTAAGAAGATGACGGTCCTTGAAGGTCTATCCGATGCCCATGTTGTCCTCTTGGCCGTGCATCTCTGTCTGAAAGGCGACATATCAGGATTACCAGCTCTCAGACATCAGTATTCGCATACCCTCCACTTGGAGCTGCTATTTCGAATAATCCTTACATTCCTACCAGAGATTACTGAGCCCGAACAGTATACTCCTGTGATCAAGAATCTTGTCGATGACTCCCGTCCCCCCATCTGCGAAATAGAGACGGATGTTGCTGCCATTAGCGAAATACCCGAAGCTGATGCCCGACGACAAGTTCGATACTTGAAATTACTTCCCCTTCACTGTTCACACGCTACTATAGACGACTCCGCCCTGCCTCTTATTCAGTTTTTGATCCATCGAGCACATAGAATTGATGCCGAAGTTGGTCTACAGCTATACATCCTCGAACTAGTCGATCCATTCATCTCAGAGTCAGATATCCTTCGCGACTGGACCATATCCGTTGTCCTACCTGCGCTCCGGTTTAACTACGAGTACCATCCCGATAATGAAGGAGCGTTGTCATTAGAGCTTATAGAGTCACTGGATTCGAGGAGTGCGGTGAACATCCTACTCTCCGCAGCCGAACGCCGGGCGAAGGGTGGGGACGTTGGCAGAGACCTCAAGGGGTTGGTCGGGCCGTGGATGTACGGACATGTCAAATCGAAAAGGCGGAAACTTGACGAGAAGGGCACCGATGAGAACGTCAATTTGGCGGACGCTGCCTGGCAAGATGTAAACGAATGGATTTTATCGACAAGCATTCGCGACTTCCATCTGGCCATTGAAGCAGTGGAGCAGTGGTCGGGGCCAGGAGATATAAACCTGGGTGACCACGATGGGCTACAGGATGAAGAGTCATCTGCTGACATGGAGAGACTGATGTCTTGTTATGCGCAAGCCGGTCTTGCGTCCATATATGCACTCTCAGAAGGTGATTTTGGGCTTATATCAGGTGCCTCACGCATACTATCGAGAGTCGCAGACTTGACCGGCTTTAATGGTCGGTTACAAATCAGCGCTACTAGCCTCCAGCCTCTTCCCCCCGATGTATTGGAGCTGCAAAAAGTTTCGCGGCAACATTTGCTTCATAACATGCTTCTAAGCTCTTCGAACCCCCTCACACACCCTACAAGGCAGTCGATATCCTTCGCAGATGCCGTACTGGTGTCAATTCGCACACTTGACCAGTATGGTCGCTGGATGTCACCTAGAGCAGCAGCAGAGTTGATGCTGTTGGGACAGGTCGATGCGCAGTTGTTTGAACTGCGAAAGCTGCTAGAGACTCTCAACCACCAACACCCTCCACCAAAGGACTGGAGCCATATTAGAGACAGCTTGCTATGGCTGCATAACTGGGGAGGCAGTACCCAGTCAGACATACCGCGAGGCTTGTTTTGGAAGATTCCTCTTCTCAAGTTAGAGCGAGAGATATTAATTGCTCTATTGATGTCAAAGGGTGAGTGCGTTATAATAACTAGATCAGTGTTTGCCCAGTTCGTACTGACAGAGCCCCTTGTACACGATGAAGAATACAATCTTGCGGTAGACATATACCTCAATTCATCGGATTCGACGCCTCTTCCTCGAGATAAGGTCGAATCGGCTGTGACCGAGACGATGTTTGCCTCGTACGACAACGCTACCAACGGTAACAAGACCAGAGGAGGAATGAGGCGAGCCGCAGATATGTACGTACATCACCCATCCCTTAAGAAACTTGTTCAACGCAGATCCTAAGCAGAGATATGCATATAACCTTGCAGACTCGAAGCGTTTGCACCGTATTTCCCACAGTCCGTTTCGTTCCAGCAGATTAGCTGTTTGCTGTCCGCAACACACGCCCTGTCGTTCTACTCGCTGACGCTTCAGCATGGTGTACCCTTCCAGCCTGTCAGCATCCGCGTACACCAGGACCCTATATCACTGATCGAAAAGGTTCTAGAACAGAACTCAAAAGGGTATACGCAGCTAGACGATCTATTGGCCATTGGCCGTAATTTGGTCTCAGCCGGCCTCCCGGCGGGCCAACCACCATCACCACCTTCCAACGGGGCCTTTGTATCGGCAGAGAAGCGGATCATGTCACTTGCAATCGCGGCGGCAGTTAACGCGTCCGACTTTGACACTGCATACTCCTATATCGTCACCCGGCTGATCCCTCCATCCCTGGTCCCTGGCGGCGGCGACCACTCGAAGGAGCCAGAGGACGATATCTCATGGCGCGCAGCCTACAACACCGGTCGCCATCGACCAGCCGTCAAGGAGGCCCAGGAGACGACGCTTGTATCGAGCATCTCGCGCCTTTCGCAGCGCATGGAGCTGCTGTCCCTTGCCATGATCCTGGCCCCGTCACCGGAGTACCTACCAGAGATCCTGGCGGTCTGGCGACGCTGTGACGAAGAGATGGCGTCTCTCCAGGACCAAGAGATGCAAGAGGCGGAGAGCTGGGACTACCAGGGCGACCAGGGCCGCATGGGCGGCAACGGCCTTCCCGGTGGCTTCGGCCCGTCCGGCAGCGAGCTAGACGCCCTGGACACTGAGCTGGAGCGCGAACGACGAGCCCGTTCCACACGCCAGCCTCAGAGACCCAAGTTAAGCGGATACGAAGAGGCACCGATGGGCCTCTTTGAGGTAGCTCGCGGTGCTGCGTCGGCTCTTCGCAAGAACGCATTTCCGTTGACCGCCGGCTCCGAGTCGGCGAGTGAAGCTCAAGCTCAGGCACAACCACAACCACAACCGCAGCCAGAGGGAGAGACGACCCGCACGAGGAAGAGGGATGTGGTCAGTAACCTGGTGACGGGGGGTCTGATCAGCGGCATAGGATGGGTTATCGGCGCTCCAGCTCCTGCCTCGGGCCAAGGAAGTCCAGAGTAGCGCGTAACCAGGGCGTGAATCTTCTGCTCCATCGCTATTTACCTGTTGCATGTGTAGACGAATGATGATAAATGCTTTACGTATCTCAAGATCTACTTCTACCAATACATACAGGAACAGGCACTTACCACAAAGGAGTACTAATCGATAGTAGAACCTGCCGGCCAAGGGACTATCAAGCCAGCCACCAGGCACAAGAACGGGATAAAACGAGACGCTCTGCATCGTGTGTATGTGACTATCGGTCCATCCTTGCTCTCTCCCTTGCACAGTTACTAGTTAGCCTGTGGGATCTATTCATAGCAGAAGGCTTGCTTTCGATGTTCATGCATCTTTCTCCTTAACTGCAAGAGAGCATCATATATGTAGAGATGACAGTAGATAGAGCATGTTTTCTTCTGCCAGTCGAGATGTTTCAGCCCTCATGCAAGACGTTCGCGTCTCGCCTGGGAAGAAGGCGAAGCACTCGATGAAGACCTTGAAGACTCAGCCTTCTTTATATTTACACACAGCACAGGTGTATTTAACTTATATATAGTAACGAGAGAGAGAGAATGTCTGTTACCGTCACTGCTCTGCGTATTAAACAAGACAACGTCTGGACATCGAATCCAACTGGCCGACATTTCGATCCGTCCTGGTCTCTCTTCCTTCCGGGCGCTTGCTGAAACTTGAAAAAGGACGAGCAGGAAGAAGAGGAGCTTCTTCGCCTCCCCCGCCATCTTCTCTTCGTCTCTTCTTCCTGTCTTCTTCTTCTTCTTGTCTTCTTGTCGTCTTCTTGTCCTCTGCAGAATCTTCCATATGAAACACCCAGCGGCCCCCAGGCCTGGCGTCACCCGTTTTTACCCTCTTCTAAACTTGCTGCTGGTTGGCCGTTGACTCTCTCTCTTTACTCTCTACTCTGTCTTGTCTTCTTGGGCCTCTTCTGCTGCTTGCAAGGGGGTCGCCCTCATCCTTGGTCTCTTTTCGTCCGATATCAAAGAAGAACAGACCGTCCACCATACATATAACAGCACAGAACGAACCCATCAAGCGCCTTGTTCTTCCTTGCACATCCTTGCATCAGGAGGGAGAAAAAAAAAAGGAAGCCAGTCAAAAGGGGGCCAGAGGGGCTTTTATAGACGCCTCGCCGTCTTTCTCGTTCACTCTTGCTCGACCTTCTTCTATACATTCACAGCTAAATAAAAGACAACCTTCGCCTCCCTCTTCTTCCACCACCACCACCACCACCAACTCCTCCTCCTCCTCCTCCTCCTCCTCCTCCAGGGATCTCCCCCGCCATCCTCTCGACTCCCAGATTCGACCTTCTACTTGCACACGGCGTAATACTTATAAAGACCACCCGCCACAGGCTCTCCTTCTACAGCTCTGTCGACTTCTCGCCTCTTGTGATTGACTCACGTGGCCCTCGCTGTCACTATGACCTCTCCCGCTCCCGTCCTCAAGACTCCGGTGCCTGGCGCACATCGCAACAACAAGCTACCATCGCTGACCGTGGGCATACCGCCGTCTCCAAATGCCAAAACCCCGTCAACCAGACCGGTGCTGCGGCCCCGGCCCTCGCACCTCTCAGCATCCCCCAGAAGCCCGCCAGTCGAGCACCCCCAAAGCTGAAACTGGCCACCATGGGCACCAAGGCCACACACCACCAGGATGCCAACGCCCTGCACAACGGCCGTCCGATTCCCCAGCACTACAATTCGACGGGTTCAACCGACAACAGCAACAGCAATGTGCACTCGAGGTCGGGGAGCGTCACCAACCCTGACAAGGGCAGCGGGCCTCCCACCTCCGCGACATCCTCTAATCAATCTGCGTTCTCCTTTGCTTACGGCCTTCGACAGCCTTACGGGTCGACGCCTGACCCGTCCTCGGCCATCAGCTCGGTCTACTCCGATCTCGGAGATGGTTCGGCGATGGAGCGAGAGAACAGCGTCAACGGCCTGACAGACCTCGATAAACTCAGCCAGGAGCTCGGGCGCCCGCTCGACGTAGAGGACCTCGACGACGAGCGGTGGCTGGCCGCCAGTGAACAGGGCAAGATCATCGAGCTAGACAGCCTCGGCGAGGGAGCCGGCGGGGCTGTCACTCGATGCCTACTCAAGGGAGGGAAGACAGTCTTTGCTCTAAAGGTACACCTGACTCACTCTATATACACACACGTATCAATGCTAACTTTACTAGATCATTACCACCGACCCAAATCCAGATGTAAAGAAGCAGATTGTTCGAGAGCTTAATTTTAATAAGGGATGTGCGTCCGACTACATATGCAGGTACTATGGAGCTTTCGTCGACCGGTCGAGCAGCTCGATATCGATAATCATGGAGCTATGTGAGGGTGGCAGCTTGGACAGCATCTACAGAGAAGTCAAGAAACTCGGTGGTCGAACGGGGGAGAAGGTGCTAGGAAAGGTCGCTGAAGGCGTGCTAAACGGCCTAACATACCTTCACGGTCGAAAGATCATCCACAGAGGTATATTCCGTCACAAACTCCCCAGTGAAATTACCACGGTCTAACGTGTGATAGATATAAAACCATCAAACATCCTCCTCTGCCGCAACGGTCAGGTCAAGCTCTGTGACTTTGGTGTCAGCGGTGAATTCGGAACCAAGGGCGATGCAAACACCTTCATCGGCACATCCTACTACATGGCCCCTGAGAGAATCACCGGGCAGTCTTACACCATCACATCCGACGTCTGGTCCCTTGGAGTTACACTGCTTGAAGTTGCACAGCATCGATTCCCCTTCCCCGCCGACGGAACCGAGATACAGCCCAGATCGGTCCTCATCGACCTCCTCACCTACATCATTCATCAGCCTATTCCAAAACTCAAGGACGAGCCCCACAATGGCATCCACTGGAGTGATAACTTCAAATACTTTATCGAATGCTGGTACGTATACTTACCCTCGTTTATCACATATATACATATAAGGCTAACACAACCCGCAGTTTGGAGAAAGATCACCCTCGACGAGCAACCCCCTGGCGAATGCTAGAACACCCATGGATGCTCGAAATCAAGAACAAAAAGGTCAACATGGCACACTTCTTAAAGCAAGTATGGGGCTGGAATGATTAGATTTCCAGTCAAGCCAAAAACGAAAAAGCCCCCCCAAAAAAAACCTGAAAACAAAAAAAAAAGGGAAAAAAGAAAAGCAACTGTTTGTTTAGAACGAGATTATTATTTTTTTCTTTTTTCAAGTTTTCACGGGCGCTGGGACGACCCGTAAAGCGACACTCCATTTATACAACACCTCTCCTTGATTCTGGTTCCTTTGTTCATGGCGATTTGCATTGATTCGATTTCCGTCAGGCTGCGCTCACCATACCACGGCATCATCTCATCACTACCTACCCACTTCACCTTGGCTTGGAATTATATGAAAAAACAATCATGTCCTCCTCATCCTCCACCATTAACGACTTTTCGGACAGCATGACTTCGATGAGCCACCCTTATGTCCATCCCTTCGACTTACTTGACGACACCATATACCTCCCTCGGCATCCCGTCTTCTCCCTATATATTCACGCATCAAGCCACCGTTTCATCGCTTTACTGCAGTAGTCGGAGTCCGGATACCTATTTTCCTATCCTCTTTTTTCCCTCCTTTCCCATCCACCGGTTCCTTTTCCATTTTCATTCCATTTTATCGTTTGAAATATAACTACCATAAATGAGAACTATGATTTCCCTTTTCTCTTCTTTTCCACCTTTTTTACTTATTCTTCTCACGCATCATATTAATTATCCTATCTGCTCAAATCATTTTGGTTCACTGCATTTATGCCTTGTCGTTCCATTTACTCCCTCTACTTACACCGCCATACTATATAATAGCAAAGTGTCAATCTACATTACAAGGATGAATTGCAGTAACCCTTCTCCCCGCTTACTCGTTCACCCATCTTAGCAGTAGCTCAGTCTAGTTTAATATTTATTTATAGTTCCCTGTCTACGATCCATCGTACCCCCTGACTTTTCCGCCCTTTGAACAAAGGAACATCTGGGATATATCTTGTCACCATTGTTTCAAGCCCATCGGCATCATGTGGGGGAGCGGCTTGGATCGCTGTCGCTCTTTAGGTTGGATGGCTTGTCCGTGTTTTTTTATACGGACTCTCAAGGCTCGACTCTGTAATATTAATAATGTAGTTATGTGGTGCCTGGGGCAGCTCCGATGTGTATCATTTCTCAGGTCCATGGCCAGACTGACAATCGAGCATTGGCTAGAAAAGATATGTATGTACACTTCTTCTATCTTGATGTCAACGTCTTTAATACCATAGATAGCCCACAGGCCGGCATTTTGATAGATCATCGGATGAAAATTTCACCGTTCCGAAGACATCTGGACCTCGGGTGATTCACGTCATACCTACATATGTAGTAGTACCTGAAGAATACTTCCAAGTTGCACATAAGCAGCATCTTCCCTCAGTGCTGTTTCGTTCTTCTCTTCAGTCGTTTCCCCTCTTAATCATATAGTATTACTACTGTTTACTGCTTGCCTTGCGCGTTTTGCTGCGGATACTACACGTACATTTCAATTCGACGCCCAGAATCTCGTATCTACTAGTTAGTCACCTAACTTATCAACTCAACCCCGCCGGCAATACCAGGCAACCGCAGAAAGAAATAGGAAGAAGGGTAAAAAAGCTGCAGTCTACCTCTTACATAACAATGGGCCATCTAGCATGCGTGGCGAGCTGTTCGCTTCGAACCTGGGCTCTCGATTTTGAAGGGAACACCAGACGCATCATCGAGAGCATCCACAAAGCAAAAGCTGCCGGGGCAACTCTCAGGGTTGGGCCCGAACTTGAAATATGCGGCTACTCGTGCCTTGATCATTTCTTCGAGGCGGATCTATACCTCCACTGTTGGGAAATGCTGTGTATTATTCTCAAGGATAGAAGCTGTGATGACATACTGCTTGATATTGGTATGCCGGTTATGCACCGTAACAATCGATTCAATTGCCGAATCATCTGCTTGAATGGGAAGATCTTGCTTATCCGGCCGAAGTTATGGCTTGCGAATGATGGGATATACAGGGAAATGAGACACTTTATACCCTGGGCTGGACCAAGGCACGTCGAGGAGTATTACCTGCCGAGGATGGTGAGGGAGATACAGGGCTCAATAAAGGTGCCTATTGGAGATGCAGTGATATCAACAGCAGACACGTGTGTTGGTATGGAAACATGTGAAGAGCTGTTCACCCCGCAGTCACCTCATAATGACATGAGCTTGAACGGAGTAGAGATAATGGCCAATTCGTCTGGATCCCATCATACTCTGAGGAAGCTTGATGTCCGTGTCAGCCTCATCATGGAAGCCACGAGGAAGAACGGGGGCATCTATCTGTATGCGAATCATTTGGGTTGTGACGGGGATCGTCTTTATTTTGATGGAAGTGCGATGATTATCGTCAACGGAAACCTGGTTGCACAGGGACATCAGTTCACACTTGATGAGGTTGACGTTATTACTGCAGTCGTGGACCTGGAGGAAGTCCGGTCTTATCGATGCACTCCATCTCGAGGCCACCAATCTATGAAAGCTGGGGTATATATGCGGATAGAGACAGAGTTTAGTCTCAGTTCCGACAGAGGCGACCGAGATACAACGTTGAGGCCTAGCCTGGTGATACAACCACGTTATTACTCGCCGGAGGAAGAAATCGCACTTTCCACCGGGTGCTGGCTATGGGATTACCTCCGACGCTCCGGCACCGCAGGATACCTTGTACCGTTATCGGGCGGGATCGATAGCTGTGCTACAGCAATGACAGTCTTCTCGATGTGCCAACTAGTTATCGATGCGATCAAGGCAGGAAACGAGCAGGTGATCAAGGACTGCAAACGTCTAGCAGACTACACCCTTGAGTTACCAAAGACACCACAGGAGTTATGTAATCAGATCTTCCATACCGTATACATGGGAATGTCGAAGCAATCCTCGAGGGAAACTCGAGAACGGGCAAATGATCTCTCCGAAGCTATCGGCTCTTATCACGTCGATCTAGATATAGATGATGTCTTTGAGGCCCAAAAGAACTTGATTGTCAAGTATCTGGATTTTGACCCCAAGTTCAAGAGCCAAGGCGGTACCAATGCGGAGAATCTCATGCTGCAGAACATCCAAGCACGCAGCCGGATGGTTACCGCATACGAATTCGCACAGATGCTCCCTACCACTCGTAAACGGCCACACGGTGGAGCCTTACTTGTCCTTGGATCTGCAAACGTTGGGGAGGCGCTTCGCGGCTACTACACTAAATACGACTGCTCTAGCGCCGACATCAACCCTATCGGTGGCCTTGATAAAAGCGACCTTAAACTCTTCATCTCTTGGGCGGAGAAATCTTACTCTATCCCTTGTTTGCGGGGCTTCCTCGAAGCCACGCCCACTGCGGAGCTGGAGCCTATCACCGAACAGTACGTCCAAAGCGATGAGGCCGACATGGGTATGACATATGATGAGCTGTCCACTTTTGGCCGGCTAAGGAAATGCAACAAGCTGGGGCCGTATGGCATGTTCCAACGTTTGGTACATGATTGGAACCACCTCACACCTCAGCAGGTAGCGGATAAGGTCAAGAAGTTCTACCATTACTATGCCATTAACCGGCATAAGATGACAACTTTGACACCCGCTCTACACTCGAACGATTACAGCCCTGACGACAATCGATTCGACTTGAGACCATTCTTATATTTCCCGTTTTACCAGTCCTGGAGCTTTAAGAAGATCGATGAAGAGTTGGCGCGCATTAAGAAGCAGGCCAAGCAATGAATGGGCTGAGATGTCATATATAAATATGTATCAACGGAAGGGTCCCAATGCATTATTGACGCCTTGGAAAGCTAGAAATATCTAGAATTTGACAATTATATCCTTATATCATCGTCTTCAGACCCCTAGTGGCCGTTTCTCTCAATTTTATTGGACTCTGTAGGTTTGAACCGTATGCTTCAATACTTCCAAAAAGGGCAACCCTCTGCGAACACCACATCACGTGACCGTGTCTGCTGACTCACCTCGTAAAAAGCCAAAAGTCCCGAAAAGCTCCGATCAATTTCTTCGGGAATAAAGAACAGGATCAGGCCATTCTTTCCCAGGCACTTTGATGTCATATCCTCGCTTCAAAAGGCGTTTGCTGTTGCTCCTGTTTCCGCCTCTCCCGGTCGGGTTTCTAATCTTCTTAATACTTTCTCCTTAAGTCTCCACTCTTGTCTCTTGTTTCTTCAGGTATTCTCCAGTGAACCATGCAATTCACGGGGAAAAGTGGGAATAATAGAAGGATGACCAACGGATTTTTGATACCCGATGCAGACGTCTTTGGAATCATGGAGAATTAAGTGCAATTCTCGCTATTTCTGAGCAAAAGTAGGAAGAAGAATAAGAATTTTCGAGATTCTTTCGAGACTTCTTTGGCTTCTCCGCGGAATGGCCAGTTTACGCGCCATTCTTTTCTTTCCTGTCATTCCACTTTTTTGCTTCCAATTGAACCCTAAGCACATGGAGCAGCTTATCCTTGATAATAACAAATTGAAATGATCCCATTGGCCCACTGGGTACGCATAGGCGATGTTCGCGTACCAGCTTTGTATAGTGAAGGTTGTTCACCGGTCATTGTTCGCCATGCAATGTCAGGTATATAAGAGAGCATCTCTTCTTCATCTCACCCGTTCATCTTACCATTTTCCAACCAAACAGCAAGAGTGAAACACTATTCATCGAGAACAAACAAAAACACACATACCAATCAACAATCATGACTGTTACCGACCGTTTGATCCAACACGTTGATGAGGAACAGCTTGAGACCAACCTTCCTAGCCGTGTCAACTACCTCAAGGCATTCCTCAAATTCACCGATGAGGATGGTGCTGCTATACAGAGCGCCAAGGGCCTCATTGCCCCTGCTCTCCCAGCAATTCTCGACACAATCTACACCAACCTGATCGGTTTCGATGTCACCGCCAAATCCTTCGTACCTCCTCAGCCAGAGCAGGAGAAGATCAGTAGCTCGGCAAAAACCACAGTTGCCGAGCTCTCACTCACCCACCCTAACATCTTGCACCGCAAGGACTTCCTCAAGTCATATCTCGTCAAGCTCGTGAGCAACAGCGATTGGTCCGACGGTAGCAAGTTCTGGGAATACCTCGACAAGGTCGGCGTCATGCACACGGGCAAACCCGGATTCAAGCATCGCGAGAAGAGGCCGGAGCTGCGCGTCGAGGTGATGCATATGTCCCTGCTATTGGGATTCGTGGAAGATATCGTGCTTCAGGCGACGATGGGAGCAGAGGAGTTGGACATTCAGACTAAGACGAATGTTATCAGGGCTTTTAACAAGTTGATCATGGATTCAGAACGATCTGTTCCAGAAGCACTATGTCTCTAAA